TGTTGTGATCGCTCTAATGGTGTCCGACAGCAAATTGGGACCAAAAGTGTACGGACTGTTTGAAGGCGGACAGATTCAGGCATATTATAGGGTATGTCCAAATATAATTTGTTATAATTAATTAATAATTTTTGTACTGTATAAGTAAACTTGATATGTTTACTTTGATAGCACCGGCAGTTCAAACTAGAAGAACAACAAAACCCAAAACTGGTGACAGAGGTGTTCCAGAAGTTGGCTCGGGTTCACGCCATGGATGTGCCCATTAAGAGGACCCATTGGTTCTTCGCAGAAATGAACAGATTTTATGGATTGGCACAAAACAATCTTAACACTCATATCAATAACAATGAATACAATTTGGAGACATTTAAGAAATATGATCTCAAAACTGAATTAGAATTCATTCAAGAATTACTGGTGAAGTCCAAGAGTCCAATGGTCTTCACTCATAATGACTTCAGAAGCTCTAATATTATGGTATTGGAGGATAATAATAATAATAATAATAATAATGCCATATCAGATGGACAGGTAGTTTTGTGTGACTTCGAGTATTCGAGTTATGGATTCCGTGGACACGATTTTGGATACATAATCAGCGGATGGGGCCGATCTTTGAGCGATTTTAAAAAGCCATATACTTTTCCCGACGACTCCGTACTTTTATCACTCATTGATATCTACATCAAAGAATCGGTCAGAATATTCGGTAAACAATATTCTGACGATAAAATCAATTCAAGAGAACAATTGTTAAAAGAAATGAAAATATTCACACTATCCGGCTGTTTGTTTGGGACTGTATTTATGCTAAAAAACGATGAAAACGCAGCCGATTCCTTTGAATTGAACAAAAAAGTTATAATGGTTTGTATTGATTTGATTAGTTCTCGTATTATTATTATAAAACATAAGTTTTAATAATTTTATTACTATTAATAAAATGTTTGATTTATTTGTTGTAAATAGGAAATATGTGAAGTGGCGTATAAAGGCTATTGGCATATCAAGGATCAATTGAAGGAACAACACTTTTTTGACAATTTATAATTATTATGATAATCAATCAGCTATATTACATTTTTCTACTCTTAAAATCTGTTATTTTATTAAATGCTATTTATAAACGATCTACTTTTCTAAATTAATAAAATATTTTTCTAATAATCATACTATAACTGTAATATAAAATCAATTTGTAAAGTAAAATATAATTAGATTCATATTTGAAATTCATTATTTAATCAATGATATAATTTAAAATATTTAACACCAGGTACATCTTAAATTTGAATCTAAAATAAATTAATTAGATTTCAATTATAAACTCAAGAATAATGTCTATAGAATGGGAAGAGTATGGGAATGAACTCATCAGAGGAGGGATACCCCATGACATCCAAAAGAAATGTTTCCAGTCATACATGCAATGGAATTCAAATCCTCCAATTAATCGATTTATAAAGAATCAGTGATTAAACGATTAAATAATTAAATAATTAAATAAAAGAATTTACAGAGAGATTGCTTTTGTGAGTAAAGCTGTTCAAACTTCAAACTTATTATTGATAAGTTTAATTTCATTGCCACAATAACATACATTTTAGCGAATTAGGTATAAACAGTCCCCAAAGTACTCACATGTTATTGAAATAAAAAGTTATGATATTTATTACTGTACAGTATCTGTTTTGTAATGTAGATACTGTATACGGTAATGCATAACACTCTAGATATTGTATAAGAATTCAATGCGATCGTGTCGTGTGAATTGATAAAATACAAAATTTTCTAATTATTAATTATCTCAATTAAAACTATTTTTGTGGTTCACCAAAGTACACAAGAACTTACTAACGAAATTATCTATATATACTAAATTTTTAGTAAGATATATCTACTTAAAGTAAGTAATCCGCTTGTATAAAAGTTTAGTATTAAAATTATTTAATTATAAAAATATTAAACCAATTTAAGTTCATGAAAAATTAAAATAAAACTATAAATTTTAAATACATAATAGTGATTGCATTATTTCACAGTTTATAAATCTATTAAATTGCTGGCAATTTATATCATTTTATTATTTAATAATAATGAGGATTCACTGTTACATGAATTGACGATTATTAAAAATATATTATTACATATGAATTGTATGCGTCTGTCCTTCAACTCAACTGATTATTTCATTATCTCTTGGAAATTAATCTATGAATTCATTAAATAGGAGTTTCATTTCCATATAAAGCAATTGCATTAAGAATATCATAGTTTGTTTGATGTGTTCAGTTGTTTGATATTATTCTGTGTTTAGAGAAGCAAATCATGGAAACAAAAACCCAACAAATGTCTGACAGAACTGAAGATAATTGTAAACCTAAGAAAACTTTTAAAGACTTGACAACTTTGGAAGGACTTAATTTTGATGATATAGATCTGATCAAAGGTGAGACACCACCGGATATCAAAGAGAGATGTCTTGAACTATGCAAACAATACTTATCCGGCAATTGGACGCAACAAACACTGGACACCATTCAAGTGACGCGAGTGTCGGGAGGTCTGACTAATCAGTTGTATTACTGCGGGATCACCAGTCCATCAATGGAGTCAGCTAATGTACCACAAGAAGTGGCTGTAAGACTGTATGGACCCAAATATTTTAATAATCAAGATTGTGGTGGGAATGAGAGACTGACTGATGCTGTGATCTCTCTAATGGTATCCACGAGTAAATTGGGACCAAAAGTGTACGGACTGTTTGAAGGCGGACAGATTCAGGCATATTATAGGGTATGTCCAAATATATTTAGTTATAATTAATTAATTGTTTTAGTACTGTATAAGTAAACTTGATATGTTTGGTTTGATAGCACCGGCAGTTCAAACTAGAAGAGCAACAAATCCCAAAACTGGTGACAGAAGTGTTCCAGAAGTTGGCTCGGGTTCACGCCATGGATGTGCCCATTAAGAGGACCCATTGGTTCTTCACAGAAATGAACAGATTTTATGGATTGGCACAAAACAATCTTAACACTCATATCAATAACAATGACTACAATTTGGAGACATTTAAGAAATATGATCTCAAAACTGAAATAGAATTCATTCAAGATTTAGTGGTAAAATCCAAGAGTCCAATGGTTTTCACTCATAATGACTTCAGAAGCTCTAATATTATGGTATTGGAGGACAATAATAATAATAACAATGACCTATCAGATGGACAGGTAGTTTTATGTGACTTCGAGTATTCGAGTTATGGGTTTCGTGGACATGATATGGGAATCATAGTCTCAGAATGGGGGCGATCTATGAGCGATCATAAAAAGCCATATACTTTTCCCGACGACTCCGTACTTTTATCACTCATTGATATCTACATCAAAGAATCGGTCAGAATATTGGGTAAACAATATTCGGACGATAAAATCAATTCAAGAGAACAATTGTTAAAAGAAATGAAAATATTCACACTATCCGTCTGTTTGTTTATGACTGTCTTTATGCTAAAAAACGATGAAAACGCAGCCGATTCCTTTGAATTGAACAAAAAAGTTATAATGGTTTGTATTGATTTGATTAGTTCTCGTATTATTATAAAACATAAGTTTTAATAGTTTTATTACTATTAATAAAATGTTTGATTTATTTGTTGTAAATAGGAAATATGTGAATTGACGTATAAAGCCTATTGGCATATCAAGGATCAATTGATGGAACAACACTTTTTTGACAATTTATAATTATTATGATATTCAGCCATATTACATTTTTCTACTCTTAAAATCTGTTATTTTATTAAATGATATTTATCAAAAATCTACTTTTCAAATTAATAAAATATTTTTCTAATAATCATACTATAACTGTAATATAAAATCAATTTGTAAAGTAAAATATAATTAGATTCATATTTGAAATTAGTTATTTAATCAATGATATAATTTAAAATATTTAACACAAGGTACATCTTAAATTTGAATCTAAAATAAATTAATTAGATTTAAATTATAAACTCAAGAATAATGTCTAAAGAATGGGAAGAATATGGGAATGAACTCATGAGAGGAGGGATACCCCGTGACATCCAAAAGAATTGTTTCCAGTCATACATGCAATGGAATACAAATCCTCCGATTAATCGATTTATAAAGAATCAGTGATTAAACGATTAAATGATTAAATAATTAAATAAAAGAATTTACAGAGAGATTGCTTTTGTGAGTAAATCTGTTCAAACTTCAAACTTATTATTAATAAGTTTAATTTCATTGCCACAATAACATACATTTTAGTGAGTTATACAACAGTCCCCAAAGTACTCACATGGTATTGAAATAAAAAGTTATGATATTTATTACTGTACAGTATCTGTTTTGTAATGTAGATTCTGTATACGGTAATGCATAACACTCTAGATATTGCATAAGAATTCAATGCGATCGTGTCGTGTGAATTGATAAAAATACAAAATTTACTAATTATTAATTATCTCAATTAAAACTATTTTTGTGATTCACAAAAGTACACAAGAACTTACTAACGATAATATATAACCATATACTAAATCTCTAGTAAGATAAATCCACTTAAAGTAAGTAATCCGCTTGTACCATATAAAAGTTTAGTATTAAAATTATTTAATTATAAAAATATTAAACTAATTTAAGTTAATGAAAAATTAAAATACAACTATAAATTTTAAATACACAATAGTGATTGCATAATTTCACAGTTTATAAATCTATTAAATTGCTGGTAATTTATATCATTTTATTATTTAATAATATTGAGGATTGACTGTTACATGAATTGACGATTATTAAAAATATATTATTTTATTTCTGTATTTCATATGAATTATATGCGTCTGTCCTTCAACTCAACTGATTATTTCATTACCTCTTGGAAATTAATCTATGTATTCATTAAATAGGAGTTTCATTTCCACATAAAGCAATTGCATTGTGAATATCATAATTTGTTTGATGTGTTCAGTTGTGATATTATTCTGTGTATAGAGAAGCAAATCATGGAAACAAAAACCGAACAAATGTCTAATGAAACTGAAAATAATTCTAAGCCTAAGATAGCTATTAATGACTTGACTACTTTGGAAGGACTTAATTTGGATGATATAGAGCTTATCAGAGGTGAGACACCACCGGATATCAGAGAGAGATGTCTTGAACTATGCAAACAATACTTATCCGGCAATTGGACGCAACAAACACTGGACACCATTCAAGTGACGCGAGTGTCTGGAGGTCTGACTAATCAGTTGTATTACTGCGGGATAACCAGTCCGTTGAAAGAATCAACGGATGTTCCACAAGAAGTTGCTGTAAGACTGTATGGACCCAAAAATATGAATAATCAAGATTGTGGTGGGAATGAGAGACTGACTGATGTTGTGATCGCTCTAATGGTGTCCGACAGCAAATTGGGACCAAAAGTGTACGGACTGTTTGAAGGCGGACAGATTCAGGCATATTATAGGGTATGTCCAAATATAATTTGTTATAATTAATTAATAGTTTTAGTACTGTATAAGTAAACTTGATATGTTTGGTTTGATAGCACCGGCAGTTCAAACTAGAAGAGCAACAAATCCCAAAACTGGTGACAGAGGTGTTCCAGAAGTTGGCTCGGGTTCACGCCATGGATGTGCCCATTAAGAGGACCCATTGGTTTTTGGCAGAAATGGACAGATTTTATGGATTGGCACAAAACAATCTTAACACTCATATCAATAACAATAAATACAATTTGGAGACATTTAAGAAATATGATCTCAAAACTGAATTAGAATTCATTCGAGAATTAGTGGTAAAGTCCAAGAGTCCAATGGTTTTCACTCATAATGACTTCAGAAGCGTTAATATTATGGTATTGGAGGACAATAATAACAACAATGCCCTATCAGATGGACAGGTAGTTTTGTGTGACTTCGAGTATTCGAGTTATGGATTCCGTGGACACGATTTTGGATACATAATCAGCGAATGGGGCCGATCTTTGAGCGATTATAAAAAGCCATATACTTTTCCCGAAGACTCCGTACTTTTATCACTCATTGATATCTACATCAAAGAATCGATCAGAATATTCGGTAAACAATATTCGGACGATAAAATCAATTCAAGAGAGCAGTTACTAAAAGAAATGAAAATATTCACACTATCCGGCTGTTTGTTTGTGACTGGATTTATGCTAGAATACGATGAGAACGCTGATCGCATGTTTCTAAACGCTGGCTTTCAAATGAACAACAAAATTATGATGGTTTGTATTGATTTGATTATTTCACTTATCAATATGAAACTTAAGTTTTAACTTTTTTTATTACTATTACTGTTTGATTTATTTGTTGTAAATAGGAAATGGTTGAAGTGATGTATAAAAGCTATTGTCATATCAAGGATCAATTGATGGAACAACACTTTTTTGATAATTTATAATCACTAATCAGCTATATTAAATGCAGCTTGTTATTTTATTAAATTCTATTTATTAAAATTCTACTTTTTAAGTTATAAAAATATTTTTCTCATAATCATAATATAAAATCCATTTTCAAAGTAAAATATCCGGTAATTAGAATCATATTTGAAATTTGTTATTTAATCAATGAAACAATTTAAAATATTAATTTACACTAACTTGTAGTACATGTTAACTTCTAAATAAAATAAATTAATAAAAACTTTTAGACTTCAGGAATAATGCCGAAAGAATGGGAAGAGTATGGGAATGGACTCATCAGAGGAGAGACACCTCATGAGTGATGACATCCAAGAGAAATGTTTCCAGTTATACATGCAGTGGAATATAAGTCCTCCAATTACTCCATTTATAAAGAATCAGTGATTAAATGATTAAATAAAATAATTTACAGAGAGATTGCTTATGTGAGTAGAGCTGTTCAAACTTTTGCAATAAATCCCATTTCATTATCACAATAACAATAACATTGCTGTCAATTGTGTATAAGCAGACCACAAAGAAGTCGCATGATTATTGACATAGATACAAGTTGTGATATTCATTTGATATAATGAACATTGGTATCAGTTAAGATATTATTACACATACATTACATAATAATTTCAATGCGATTGATGAGTCCATTCCCATACTCTTCCCATTGTTTCGGCATTATTCCTGAAATCTAAAAGTTTTTATTAATTTATTTTATTTAGAAGTTAACATGTACTACAAGTTAGTGTAAATTAATATTTTAAATTGTTTCATTGATTAAATAACAAATTTTAACAAATAACAAATAGAATTTAAATAAATAGAATTTAATAAAATAACAAGCTGTATTTAATATAGCTGATTAGTGATTATAAATTATCAAAAAAGTGTTGTTCCATCAAATGATCCTTGATATGACAATACCTTTTATACATCACTTCAACCATTTCCTATTTACAGCAAATAAATCAAACAGTAATAGTAATAAAATAATTAAAACTTAAGTTTCATATTGATAAGTGAAATAATCAAATGAATACAAACCATAATAATTTTGTTGTTCAATTCAAAGGAATCGGTTGCGTTTTCATCGTTTTTTAGCATAAATACAGTCATAAACAAAGACCCGGATAGTGTGAATATTTTCATTTCTTTTAGTAACTGCTCTCTTGAATTGATTTTATCGTCGGAATATTGTTTACCGAATATTCTGACCGATTCTTTGATGTAGATATCAATGAGTGATAAAAGTACGGAGTCTTCGGGAAAAGTATATGGCTTTGCGAAGTCGCTCATAGATCGCCCCCATTCTGGGACTATGATTCCCATATCATGTCCACGAAACCCATAACTCGAATACTCGAAGTCACATAAAACTACCTGTCCATCTGATAGGGCATTGTTGTTATTATTGTCCTCCAATACCATAATATTAACGCTTCTGAAGTCATTATGAGTGAAAACCATTGGACTCTTGGACTTTACCAATAATTCTCGAATGAATTCTAATTCAGTTTTGAGATCATATTTCTTAAATGTCTCCAAATTGTATTCATTGTTATTGATATGAGTGTTAAGATTGTTTTGTGCCAATCCATAAAATCTGTCCATTTCT